AAACTAAAAGACAAAGAAGATTGATAGCTATATAAAAATGGATTCAATGATCCTTTGAGCTGCAACTGAGAAGAACGAAAAAATATCATTAGTAATTGGGAGTATATTTCCAGAAATAGAGAGGATTATCTGGTTATTGAATTAAACATACTTAAAAAAAGCAGATGATTAAAAAAACAGAGAAGAAAGAGACTAGTACCTTGACTAATGAGAAATTGTACAGTAGGTTACAATAGAGGAGTGAATATTGAACGTGTTTGGATGCGAATTCCTTCTAATACTGTGACTACATTTAATGATGAATAACATGTGCACAGGGGGGTCTGCATACACAGTTACTTAACATTTCAAAGGATTTTAGAAATCATTTTTGTAATTCAAAGATTTAAAGAAAATGGGAATGGATTTTGAATTCACAATAATGTTATAAGATGAAATAACTTATAAACATTTAATATTGACTTGAATAGATATTAGAGAAAAAGCAGTTATTCTGGAATAAATCTCTTTTAAGCCACAACTTTTTAAATCTAAAACTCTCTCTCTTGTATCTGTTTCCTCATGTACTGGTTACATGTTTCCTCATGTACTGGTTACATGTTTCCTCATGTACATGGTTACTCTCCTTGCCCACCCTTAAAAACACCAGCCTATTTTCTTATTACCTTGGCTTCCAAATCACAAGAAACAAAATACCAAATCCTCTCCCCTGCAGCCCTCTCATGCTCTCTCTAGCTCTCCTCGCTCTTCCTCTTGCTTGGTTCCATTCTCTGGTTCCTATTCTCTCTGCTTGCTCCACCTTCTTGTTCTACAAACTGACCTTGAGTAATCAGATAAGTGAGGGAGGAAAAATTATTTTCCCTTTCGATTTCTTAGCTGGGACCTTTATAACAAGATTAATAAGAGAAGGATAAGTTCACTAATGTATATGTCATATGCACATGGAGATTCCCTGGAAATGAGTAATTTTCAAAGAGATGATCTAAAATTCAGACTTAAATAACATATTTAGCCAAAATCAAAGAAAGAAGGTTGTGGAGAAGGCCAAGTATGGGAAACTAATAATAGATGAAGTTTAGTCAGTAAACATTTTTGTGTAGATTCCTCAGTGCAGGAAAAGACTAAGGTCATTTCAGTAATCAATCATTACTGTTTCTGATAGAGATGGAAGGTGGGTCACCTTTGTAAATTTATGTCTTACTTTTAAGGAAATATGAATATAGCAGGAATGTTCCTTTCCTTTGCCTTTAACTCAAAATAGTCCTTATTCCAAAGTGGCATATTTGGAGGTGACAAATTCTGGTACCTTTTACATACATTTGCATAAATACAAATATTAATGTTTATAATCTTTTTAAATTCTGAAGACAAAAGATGTGAGTCACATCATTTGTCAACTTTCTTAAACATAGTTTGCTGAAATCATCACATAACATGTTGATTGCAAGAGTAGAAAGAGAAATGAAACTTGAGGTACTCAAAATTACTTTTAGTGTTATCTATGGTTCAGAATTAATCCATGTATTTTAAAACTACAGCCTTTGATATGGTAACCCCCAAACTTCAAAATATTTGTGATCTTCTGCATTTACTTATTTATGTAAACATTACGGCAGTTTTTTTATTGCATTGGATCTGACATGACTTGTATTGGAAACTGAGTTGACACATGTTAAGTGTTTTGTTTTATAACATTTAAAATCTAGTGCTGAACAGATAGAAATCAGATACAAACTTGAAATAAAATTTCATAGCAAATTTAAACGTTTGAACTTTAAGCACAAATTTATGCTATTGGTGTTCACAAATTTTAATATCATCATTGGAAAGAATAGTACAGTTTATAAATAGTTATATCTCCAGTGATTGAGAACTACACTGAGAATTTTTATGTGTTTAGCAAACATGTACAACTAGTGCATAGATTGATTTGTGTTTTATTTGTATGGTATAAATTTGAGTCAGTCATTAAAAAGAACTATATTCTGCAATCGAAAAGGTCACTGGATATGGATGCTTAAATAATGGAAATTGCTATGAATTTGGAGATCATGCTAATTCATCCTGAACCTAATGAAATCTATTAAGATGAAATAATGCATGGTCTTCTATGGTGATCAAGACTAACCATAAGAGATTAAATCTGATGACCAGGAAAGGGAGCAGTCAGTATGCATATCTGAAGTTTGCCTGCAGGTAAATTGCTTTGTGTTAAACTGAATTTACTAGCTAGAGCAATTATTTTTCTATAGTATTTTTCCCTTCGGAGACTAACTGCAAACTATACATGTAGCAAATCAACAACCCCCCCCCCCCGAAAATGATGTAAAATGTTTTATTATCAATAAAATGCTATTACTGTGAAGGTAACTGAATAGCAAACCAACAACCAAGAGCTGAAAAAAAAGATATAAAATGTTTTATTATTGATATAATTTGAGGCATACTTATAAAGGTACATTGAATTTCTTGAAGTAAGGAAAATCTAAATGCGTATAACTTCACCCATTAACACACCCTGGCAATATTTCTAATCTCTCGTTTCACTTAACCATTTATACCAGAGTGGAGGAGGCAGGTTTTCCCACTACCCCTACTCAGAAAACTCTATATTGATTATTTCAAGGTCACCATGTATATGTTCAAGGGCTTCCTATTTCCCACCAGCTTCCCCTAGAGTCAGAGAATTGAAACCTCTATTTTAGGCACCTAGGAGGGTCCTCAACTGCCAAAGAGGAAACTGTCCTCAAAAGAACTTGGGGATGCACAGACAAGCCTCACTTGGGTCAGTCAGTAGACAGCCTCTGGGCCTCTCAGAGAAGGCCCCGGATGGTGCTTGCTTCCATGTGGACCCCTGGCATGAATGACAACTGAGTTGTCATTCATGTTGGGAACTCAACAAAAACTAACTGATCCTGTATCCACAGCTGCCCTGATGCGCAGTGCCCTAGGCCAGGTAACACCTGCCTTTTTACCCCTCCCCTTTCTTCTTCACTTGGGAAGTTGTAGTCTTTAGTGTACTGGAAGTCAAGTGCCCGGGTCCTCATTCATTCATTTTAATCTATTGTTTACGACAAAAATATTATGATCTTAGTCTCTCTGCAGCTAATAATCTCAGAAATACAAATTGAGTATCCTTTATCCAAATTGCTTGAGACCAGAGTACTTCAGATATAAGATTTGGCAGGGGGGGGGGGGTTTGCATAACATGAGCTACCTTGGGGATGGGACCCAAGTATAAACATGAAATTTGCTTAGGTTTCACATACAGCTTACCCAAGGTAACCTGAAGGTAATCTTGTACAATATTTTTAGTGCACCTGTACTTTGACTGCAACCTATCACAGGAGCTCAGGTGTGGAATCATCCACTTTGACAGTCGTTTTGGCACTCAAAATATTTCAGATTTGGAGCACTTTGAATTTTGAATTTTCAGATTAGGGATGCTCACTCCTACGTTAAAATCATCTCTAAAAGATCAAAAATCCTGGGCTGTTCTTTGCACTAAGAACTCCAGAGATCTTTTGATATCTACAACTGTAGTAGTGACCTTTATGTTTTTTTCATTGACTGTGCTGGTATTTTCTGGAAACAACAAAGAATGAAGGACTTAGCTCACTTTAGGGTATGAGGAATGGTTAGAAGAAGGGAAAGGTATCAGTTACTGTGAGATAGAACCACAATCGCTAAAACTACAACTGATTGGATCATTTCTAGTGTTAATTATCTGTGCCACCTTGAGCAAATTAATTTAATTCTCTAGGACTTACCTTAATAAACTGAATTCGTTTCTTACAGATGTTGTAACAAATTACCGCAAACTTGGTGATGTAAAAGAACAGAAATTTCTTCTTTTATAGTTTAGAGGCTAGAAGTCTAAGATGAACTTCACTGAGCTGGATTCAACATGTTGTCAGAGCCATGCTGTCTCTCAATGTTTGGAGGAGAATCCATCCTGGCCTCTTCCCCCAGGAAAGGTGGTCAATAGCATTTCTTGGTTGTTGACTGCATCACCCCAATCCCTACCTCTGTGGTCACTTTGCCCTCTCCTCTTTGTGTCCAATATCCTTCTGTTTTTTCTCTTAGAAGAATAGATGTGACTGCAGTTAGATTTTATCCAGATTATCTCCCCAATTAACAATTCTTAATTTAATCAATCTTCAAAGTCCTTTATTGCCATATAAGATAAAATTCACAGATTAACAAGATAAATATCTTTCATTCAGCCCACTGTAAATTAGTTTGATAATATTACTGACATGAATATTAAAGAATATATAGTCAACCATCCATTTCCAGGGGCTTCATATCCATGGGTATAACCAACCATGGATTAAAAATATAAGAAAAAAAATGTTTTACTGCACACATTCACATTTCTTCTCATTTTTCCCTGAACAATACAGTGTAACTGTCTACATAGTACTTATATTTGATTAGTAGTACAAGTAATCTGGAGATGACTTAAAGTTTATGAGAGGATGTGAACAGGTTGTATGCAAATATTACACAAATTTATATAAAGGTCTTGAGCATATATAAATTCTGGTAAGTGTAGGCGGTCCGGAAACCAATTTCCCGTGCATACCCAAGAACAGCTGTAGTATATGAAATTTCCTTAGAACAATGTCTAGTATGCCACAAATTCCTCAGTAAAAATCCACCTGTGATGGTTATCTCAATGATAATGCCACAAGAAAATATAGTGGAAAGATTTACAAAAGCAGAATACATTTTCAATGAACATATATGGATAGTCTCACCTCTGGTTATTTGATGTATGCTAACCTTACAACAGTAACATTATTTAAAGGACTGTATCTCTACCTTGAATAATTATAAATTGTGCAGATATATGATAACATGACTTTGTCTTTTGTTTCTTTTCATTGGAAATTATGTCAGCAATTTCATCCATCCTGAATTCTTCCCAAGATCAAAGTCAAAGATGTGATATAATATGATTGTCCTTTTTGTGCTTTTGTGTCCTGCCCACCTAGGATACAGATCTGATGACATTCAACATCTCTGTACATCGGTCATGGTGGAGGGAACATGGACCTGGCTGTGTCCGGAGAGTCCTTCCTCCGTCGGCCCATGGCATGATGGATGATTACACCTACGTTTCCGTCACAGGCTGCGTCCTGGACTTCCAGTACCTGGAGGTCATCCACAGTGCCGTCCAAATACTCCTCTCAGTAAGTGTCACTTTTCTGTCATTATCTGATCAGAACCCTTCTCTATTGGTATTTTATATTCACCTACCTGATAGTGCAGCAGAGAAGCACATAGAAAACATTAACAGAGGAAATAGCAGCAATTATGGTGCCATTAGTCATATATAATGGCAGGTTACACCTTTTTCTTCTTGTTATCCACATTTTATTTAGAACCAGCTTGTTGCTATGGTTTCTAACCTGAGATACATTCCACACTCTTCAATGGAATAATGTCACCATCCTCCAGAAGTGGTATGTTGCCCATTATCTCAGAATCTGCCACTAATGTGTTCTTCTACGAATGCTTTAGTTCCAGAGAAAGAATGATGGAAACATACATACTCAATGATTGTTCATCTAATAAATGTCACATTAATAATAATTAAAAATCAAATCCCTCCAGAGATGCACAGCATTTTGTGGTGGAACTCAGTTCCATATAGAGAAACAAAGATAGGAATTGATTTGATTAGACTATAGAAGCTTTATATACCAAGATTCCTTAAAAGTCATTTCTGTCTACCAGACTGTCCCACCCCCAGTTTGACCATAGTCTAGAGAAGAACTGACTTAAAAGGCATAACATCATCAAGAATGATGTTCCTTTAAAACCTACCTAGGATTTGCCAGTTAACTTGAATCAAAATACAATATAGCCATTATCAAGCACACTTTTCACATAAACTGACCATCCCAGTTCTTCTGCCCAGTTGGATAGTCAATCAGAATAGAGATGCAGCCTCGATAATAATCAAATCAGAAATATAAGTGGGACAGAAGAGTGAGCCATGTACCTTGGACTTGTTTCTATAAAGTACTTTGAGAAACCCTTATCATCATTTACTGTATGAATTCTCTGCTGTTATGTAACAAATTGCTCCAAGATGTAATTACTTAAAACACTAGCAATTTATGGTAGAGTGTGTGGGCAGGGATCAGCAGGATAGTTCTGTTTCTCCATTTGAAGTTGGATAGGGTCACCTGGGTGAACCTTTTAACTGGAGCTGTACCGGGACTGAAACATTCAAAGAGGCCTCACTCACCTGCCTAGAGATGGCTGTGGGTTCCCATTCCCCTCCACTTGGCCTCTCAAACTGCAGGAAACTTGATAGTTTCTCTTACTGCAAGACAATGGAGTTCTAAGAGAAACCCCAACAAGCAAGCATTTATCAAGCCTATTCTCCCATTAGCTATCACAGGTCATATGACCAAGACTAGGCTCAATAAAGGAGGGATCAACAGAGAGGCAGAATACCTAGAGGATGTCTCATTAAAGATCACCAAAGTAGCAGCCTTATCTCATTTGCTTACTGCATTAATTATTTTTCTTTAACCTACATTTCTCAAGTTTTAAAATGTTGTTTTAGACCATGTTTGAATTGCAATTTTCTAGAAAAACATAAGAAAAGAATCAAAGATTTTTTTAGTGTTCTAAATCAAAGAGCAAATTTTATACTGAATTCAAAGAAAGGCATTCTATTTCATGCTAATGAGTTTTCTTTCAGACATTTATCAGGAAATTAGATTATTGTAGGTTTCTATTATTACACTTACATAAATAAATATAAGGTACAGTCATTTGTTCATGTAGGTCCATCCATCTTTCTTTAAAGTAGCAGTTACATATGAGTATATATACATTGGAAATGTGTATTTTTTTACTGGAAGCCAATTTTTCCTTAAAATTTATGAGTTTATTTTAAGGTGTAAAAGAATTATATACTAGACTCTAAATATTCTAATTAATTTTTTATATCAAAAACATTTTCTATAATTTTTCATCTGTGCAGAGATCACCCTCCTTTAAAAAATTGAAAGTGAATTGATAAACCATTTTGTGAATGATGCATGGTGTCCAAATCTTTACAATGTGACAAAATGCTATGGAATCAAAAAGCCATTTTCCCATAGTAACTCCAACCCAAATGAACTGCAAGGTGAAATTATTTGATAAGAAGCTGGACTGTCACATAAAGCATACCCTAAAGGGAAATCTAAGTAAACTGTATGTTACACCTAAAAGCACTTTTCATTTATAAAATGAATTCCTTGATGTATTTTAGTGACCATTCAAAGCTGACAGTGTTCATATGTAGGTCTGTCTATGCTCTTCTGCCTTCAGGAAATAAAAAAGATTAGACATTGCTCTTTTATTGTATAATACGCCTGACAGACAAAATGTTTAATACTTTATCTTTTATATTAAAATAAAATGTATCCTTAATTTGCTTCACAACTATGATATTACAGTAGTCCTCCCTTATTCCCCCGGAAATATAGTCAAAGACCCATAGTGGATACCTGAAACTGTAGATGTTATTGAATCCTGAAATGTCTTTTTCTATACATACATATCTATGTTAAAGTTTTATTTATAAATTAGGCACAGTAAGAGATTAAAAACAATAACTAACCCTATATCTTAGCAACCTCAGCATGTGATTCTATTTTATTTTTTTTTGTGATTCACAAACTTTATTTTACAAAGAGGAAGTACTTTACAGTTTCTCTCTTATATCTGAATTGTCTACATCTTTACTCTTGTCGTTTCAAGTCGATATTAGGTAAAATAAGGATTACTTGAACACAACCTCTGCCACCTGGTTATTCTTTTAACCAAGACACTGCTGACAAATGCAATGGCAGTGTACACATAGATACACTGGGAAGAGGGACGTTTCATGATCTGAATGGGGTAGAGCTAGACAGTGCCAGATTCCATCACACCAATACTCAGAAAAGAGCTACATGCAACTTAAAACTTATGCTTTGCTTTTTCTGGAATTTTCCACTTTGTATTTTCAGATAGAAGTTGAAAGCTGAAAAAAAAAAGCAGATAAGAAGGGAATATTTGTGTATTATTGTGCTTGATTTTATGTGGGTTTCTTATATTTACCATTTATTTCATCTGATTCTGAGTATTATTAGAATTTTGACTTTTTAAGATCTGATGACAAAAAAAATATTCCTGTATTCATTGCCTAATTTGTGCTGAATTCGGTACCTTATTACTGTAAAACAGAGGCAATGGTCACAATGTTTAACAGCCTGTTGCTGGTGGGACAGGTAATAGCCAAGCAAGTGGATGCAGAGCTTTGAGATGGGACAGGGTACTGAAGGCTTTGCTGCACCCAGGGTAATTTCTTTAACTAGAAAGACAAAAATGTCTAGAAGAACCCAGGGGAGAAACTGTCAGAAATGGCCAGGATGATGGGGGCAGAGTAGGGAAGTTCCTTGGGGTTTCAGGGCATCAACTCTCCACCAAATGAGAGGGAACTGTTTGAATGATTTATTCATGGATGCAACTCTGCTGGTGAATTGAACAATTCTGTACTTAAGACTAGAACTTAAAATTGGAAGAAAGGATAGCCCCCCCCCCCATCTTGAGCATTGCACAGGAACAGGATAAAGGCTTGTTGTCAATGAATAAAAAACAAACAAAAATTAGCAGAACTTGCAAAGGCGACCACGGATGAGTCTCTGGTAAGGGACTGTCACAGGACAGTTAGGGAGCGTCCTTGTCACCCACCCATTCCCCAGCACAGGAACCCAGCACTCTTGCCCATGCCCCTATGGCAAGCACTCCCTTCTCAGGTATGAAAGAAGAAAAGCACAAGGTTGAGAGAAGGTTCCTGTTGATCTAACTCCACCTATTCCTATTCCAAGGCTCCCACAAATTGTCAGCAATACCAACTTGAAGATCAGTGCAGAATCAGTGGGTTCTGGACAGTGTGAGGAGAAACAAAATAAAATCTATGTAGAAGATGAGAAATCAAAGACTGTTTCCAGGGGTCCAGGTTTAAAATGATATTACTCTCCCTCTCTAGCTGCAGATTCCCTGCCTCATTCATCATTTCTTACCTGAAGGATGGCTATTAAATTCCTAAATAATATTCTGTGGCCCAGTCCTGCCCCACCTGTCAAGCATGTCCTTACTTCTAGGGAGATATTTGCAAAGTGCTAATCTGATCACCCACTTTCTGGAACCTGGAAAACATTAAAACGAATGGATGTCTCTTTGGAGTTAATTTCACTTATATGTTGTACTGAATCCTCAATGTCAAGGTATTCCTTCTTAGATCTGATATGTAACAAACCTCTTTCTTTAACATCTTTGGAGGTTGTCACCATGCAGGTCATAGAGCTCTGCAAATCAGTTTTCCATCATCCCTGTGTCCTTTATATTGTATCTCTCTATCCACATCGATATCCATTCTCTCTGCCTTTCATACCAAATGTGTTCAGTCTAACAGTAAATCAAAACTCTATAAAGAAAGGTAAAACATAATGTTAGTACACCAGGGATCCTGTGAAAACTTGCCTTTGAAAGATTGTATGAATATCTGGTCCTTCACCTGTAAAATCAGTTGTACAATCACAGGAGCAGGTAACACCACTGCTAATTCAGTCACATATGCTCACAAGTATAAAAAGGCGAATCAAAAAATGATGACATTTAAGTTTTTGATGTAAGTTTCAATTGCTATCAATAGTATCTGTCCAAAGATGTAAATCCAGTTAAAAGTTGTTATTTAATTTCTGTACTAATACTTGCATTTATTTAAAGAAACTCTCTCAGTATGTGCCTTAAAATGTTCTAAGTGCTTTACAAGGATGAACTTATTTAATCCTTATAATGACCCACAAGGTAGATATAATTATATTCATTCTACAGACATGGAAATTGAGACTCAGAGAGGTTGAGGGATTTGCCCAGATTCACATATCCTTTAAGAACTTGAAGGTGGACCTCAAATACAGGCAGATGAACTTCGCAGTTCATGTTCTCAACCACATCACTGAACATCCCCTCATGAAATGGGAAAGGAGAGCTTTGAATTTTCTTAAAGTCCTTTGCCGAGTACAGTAGTAAACTCTCAGAGCTATAAGGTTCTAAATCTCCTGCTAGGTTGATAGGGTTTTCTTTGGCAGCTTCAGTATTAGAAAGTAACAATAAGAGTGCATATATCTGAGATTTA